AATTCTATTCTAGAAAAGGCACTTCAAAGCAATAAAGCTTCTATAAATATTTTATTTAGTGAAATATTTAATTTGCTTATGTATTTGAAAGATGATATAATAGTAATTCAAGAAGAACTTGATATTGTTAGTTATTCTAATTGAAAAAAGATAGAAGAAGCTAATAAAATCACAAGAGAATATCTTTGAAAGTTTGAGGATTTCTATAGTTTCTTAGAAGATAATCTAGATGTAATACTAGAGAAATACATTAACAGGGAAGTAAAGAAAATTTGGTTTACTGAAGAGAGACTACCGTTATTTCTAAAGGTTACTTCTCAACAATTATATGAAATTTTTGTAAAAAATTTAACTAGCACAGACCAGTATCCATATTTAGAATAAGTTAGCTAATCTATATTTTTTTATCGTATAGGGTATAACCTAACAAAAAAATCTTTTGAGCTGATTACTAATCCAGATTAATTAGATCAGTAAAATACCATACAATTCTGCTTGATTGGCTAGTATTCTATCACTAACTCTCAATATTAAGATGAAAATAATACCTTAAGTCAGAGATTGACTAGCTATAGATGTATTGGAATCAAATTTTCTGAATATTCAAGATAGAATTAAATTTTGATTATTAGCATAAAAATCACTAAATGCGTTAATAAAATCAGAAGGTGTTAAAGTTTTCACAAAATTCTCAATATGAATATTTAAATTAAATGAAATGAGCTAATCTACAGCTTCTTACTAATTATATAACATCTCTTTAAATTAAGATACTTTAAATTAAGATATAAACTAGCAATTTCTTTATCTTAAGCAAAAGCGAATAATATTACAAATTGATATTTCAGAAAACTCTGTGTGTTTAAAAACATTTAGACATTCTAATTTATGATATAAATTCACGATTGCATATAAGCCTTCATCATTTTCTGATTTAAATCTTCCATATATAGCAGATATATTAAAATACTCCAAATTTGGATATGATTTCACTATTAGCTTTAAAATTTTACCTGTACAATCCATACTTCCTTCAAAATCTAAATAAATTATATTTGAAAATATATATATAATACTTTTGATTTTTTTATTTAAAAATAAATGGTAGTGTATTATTTTAAGATAAGTTAGTTTAAAGCTATAAACTGGTTTTCTTCTTCTCTCAGATACTATTTTTAAAAATCTTTTCAATTGAAATTTATCATCTACTTTATTTCCCTTTAGCTCAATATTCCTCTATAAAATAGGATCACCACATCTGTATTAAAGCTGGCAAACAAATAGGATGGGATAAAATAACTTATTTATGCTAAAAAATGTAAAATATATTCTAATAGTTCTAGTAAATAAAAGATGCTTAATTGCACTATAAATAATATATGCTGTATCTTTAACAAAAAAATGCAAAATACAGGTTAAAAAATAAAACTGCTTTCATAAAACATGATTTAAAGCATAGTAATTTCTTTAAAAATTAGCTAATATTGAATCAATTTTCGCTATCTGAGATTCAAAGGGATTATATTCAATATTTTTGCTTTTAGCATTTTCAGCAGGCTGGATGATGAAGTCTGGTATACCAGGTTTGATGTATTTTTAGAATCAGATTCAAAGCAAGACTTCTTCAATTTTGTATTGTCTATAGTGTAATTATTGTCTGCATCAAGACAATTTAATTCTTACCTCATTACAATTCTTAAAAGCAGTTTAAGATATTAGGAGTTGGTTTTTTACCACTATAAATTCTGAAAGTGTGTTTAGTTCTATAATCTCTTAATTTTTTAGATATAGTTTTATAAAGTTCTTGCTTTAAAAATTCGTTAAATGACTAAACATTACATATTTCACTTTCAGTATAGACAGAATCATGTAACTATTTAACCTTAATTGTATCTTAAATCTAAGTAAGTAATTCTCTGATACGTTCTGGATTCTTTTTCATGGAAAGAAATGATCAGGCTCAAGATTTTCTTTCTTTTCTCCTTTACTTTTTAGATAACCTGTGCAGTACCAATAATAGCCTTCTTTATACCATACTGGAATATTTGAAGAATCTGATTCATAGTGATTAATTTAAAGAGATCTTTATTTTTACAAGTTTCATACTCAACATTACTATCACATCCGCAAGATTTTCTCTAGTAAGAATTTTAGAAATATCCATATTCTGAATTCTTTTATTCACATTGCTAAGGAGAAATGTATAGAAATTCTATTCAGATTAACTATTTATTTTTTAGTTTGTTATTTCTGAATTTTATTAGAATCTTGAATAAGATTCTTATCTTTGGCAAATTCTTCAATAATTGCAAGATTTACATCACCTTTTACTAACTTTACATAGAATGTTGACTGACATGAGATACCAGCAATAATTTCATTTTCATCTTTATTTTTCAGACCTAAAGTTCTGCATAAGCTGAGTCACTTGCAAGCTAAACGGGCTAGCTCATTTAGGCTTGACTTGAGCTACTATAAATTGAACTATGAGTCAGATAAGTTAACTTATGCTATGGTTTAGCTTGTATTGCAACTCAGCTCGTTGGTTTATATTTTTTCTTTGAAAAAAATAAATTCAAAGTCAGTTTTTCTTTGAAGAAAGCTGCTCTAATAACATTTATTTAAAAATATGACCTAAGTGACATTTTTTTAAAAAAAATAGCACTGGTGATATTTTTTTTGAAGAAAAACAGCTATGGTAACGTTTTCTTTAAAAAAATAATATAGGTAATATTTTCTTTGAAGAAAAATAGCTATAATAATATTTTTTTGAAGAAAATGAACCCAGTGGATTTCCTTTGAAAAAAAATATATCTAGTGACATTTTCTTAAAGAAATTCATTTTCAGAGCATTTTTTTTAAAATAATTCATTTCTAGAGCGATTTTCTTGAAGAATTTCACTTTTGAAGTATTTTCTTTAAAAGAATTCACTTCCAAAAGTGAAATCCTTCAAAAAAATCACTTTGGAAGTGAATTCTTTTAAAGAAAATATTCCAGAAGTGAATTCCTTAATAGAAAACGCTTTGAAAGCAAAGTTCTTTAAGAAAATCGCTCTAGAAGTGAATTCTTTTAAAGAAAACGCTCTGAAAGTGAATTTTTTAATGAAAAATGTTTCAGAAGTAAAGTCCTTTAAGAAAATCACTCTGGAAGTGAATTCTTTTAAAAAAAACATTCTAAAAGTAAATTTCTTAATGAAAAACGCTTTGGAAGTGAAGTCCTTCAAGAAAATCATTTCAGAAGCGAATTCTTTTAAAGAAAACGCTTCAGAAGTAAAATCCTTCAAAGAAATCTCTTCAGAAGCAAATTCTTTTAAAATAAACATTCTGGAAGTGAAAGTCTTTAAGGAAATTACTTCAAAAGTTAATTCTTTAAAGAAAATGCTTTAGAAGCGAATTTCTTAATGAAAAATGTTCTAAAAATATTTTTCTCAAAGAAAATCATTCTGGGAATGCATCTCTCAATAAGAAACATTTCTCTCAATAGTTTTTCATTTCTAAATATAAATGCAAACCAAACGAGTTAGCTTACAAGCAAATTGGCTTAACTTAGCTTATCAATTGATCTTTATGAGTTAAACTGAGCTGAAAAAAATGGGCTTAGCTTAAGCCAGTGATAATCTAAGCCAAGCCAGCTTATGCAGAGTTTTATTCAGACCTAAGTCTAGATGATAGGTAAAAATATTCATAGTATCACCAGCTATAGCGTAAAATTTTACCCTTTCCTTTATAGTGAGATTTTTCTTTCTTTTATCTGACATGAAAATGTTTATCTTCTCTTTACTAAATAAATGTCTATTATTAGTACCGTTAGCAAGAATAACTTTAACACACTTGCAGGCCATCCAATTAGTAAGCAAAGAATCAAGTTCAGGAACATGTTTGCTTAATTATTCTGGAGTGAAGTCAATAAACAAATTATGCTTTTCTAAGAATTACTCTAAGATTAATATAAAATTATTAGTTTTAGGTTTTTAAATCTTTCAGGTAGTCATTTTGGTAGTCATATCAATACTAACTGTTATCTAGTTATATTATGTGAGAAAAAAATTCAATTTGAATAATTTTCTCAAAGCTATGCTTCTTCAAAAAGGAAAAATATTATAGATAGCTTTTGAGAAAGTTAAGAAAGTGAAAAAAATGATATAATTTATGCTTTACCATTAAAGTGCTTTGCAGACCAGTATAATATATTTTTGAATATTTATAATAAAAAATAAAAATAAGTTTAATATATATTAATCTTAAAAACTTTTTCAGAAAGAAGTACTATATCTTTTGGTCTTTTAGTAAATATATATCTGATTCAGAAGACTCTATAGATTCTAATTATTCATCTTGGCTTTACTTATATAAGAAAAAAGATAGGTCTATCTGTGAGAAAAGATACTTTTGCAAGAATAGGTGTATCAAATACTATAGGTTTCTGCCAGAAAAAATATGCGCATTCTACTATAATAGGCCAACCTTTTCTATAATACATGTCAAACTTATTTGTAAGAAAAATTGGCTAGAGAGTCGCAAAAAAAGTGAGTAAGATTTGTAACTTTGACCAAAAACACTAAAACAAAGAAATTTTGAATATTTATAATAAAATTGAAAGCAAAGTTTTAAGATAATTAATATAAAATTACCTTGTATAGCTCATTTTATCTGTCAATATATCAAGAAAGATGGTTTAAAATGTGAGAAAGGTTGCATGAGTAATTTAGGATGCGTCAGATATTATAAAGCCTATCCTAAAATAATATATCTTATCTGTAATAAACTAATCTATTCTAATACTAGAATCTGTAACACGTATAGCAAATTTTATGACTGTGCTTAACGTGAAAGTAAAAAAATTAAAATAGAATCTAATATGATCAAGACTTAGCTAAATAATGATCTGGGCTAAAATATTATTTTTCCTACCCTATAAAATCAAAGAATTTTTGAATATCGTTATCTATTTTTGACCTATATAGTGGAAGTTTTAAAGCACCTTTATCTCTAAAATCAGTACTGTTATATGGCTGATGATTAATTCAGTATAAGTATTGCCTAACTTATTGTCATTTAAGCCCTTTTTTTTATCACTTTCAATGGTATACCTATACCAATTGCTAGCAATTGTATTAATTATTTTATAGCTGAATGAAGATCTGATATTTCTTTTGCATGAGATTTAAAACCAAAGAGTAATAAAGATTAGTTTTGAATTTCTATAAACCTTTCACAAAACTCCATAAATAATTATACTTACAGTATCGCCAAAAAGAGTACATTTATCATCAATACCAGTAAAGCCTAGTATTTAAAAAATTCTTGTATAACTTTTCAATGATTTGCTAAATAAAATTTATGCAAGTCTTTTGCTACTGATTTATTCAGATTCTCTTTAGCTT